TTTTCGGCGGCTGTTTTTCTCTCCTTTGAAGTCGCGCTCTCTTTCTCTTTCAGATCCGTCGTCTCATTACGGTCCTTTCTGGCGGAAATCTTCAGCGCGCACCTTATTCCACGTTTTCGTCTCAAACGCCGCCTTTGATGTTTGACTTTGGCTTCAAATTAGGCGCGCGGCTCTCTTTGCTGCGTGCATGTGATACGCCAGCCAGCCGCTTTAATGGAGTAAAAAGCACTTTAAGTGCCTGTTTGTTTGCCCAGAAATTACGCACTCCTCGCCGCGGGCAAAGAAAGGTCGAGAGAGAGCGTCAGACTTTTCAAACTCTCATCCAGAGACGCGAAAAGGATGAGAATTAAAACTTTCCAGATTGACTTTCAACAGGATGATAATTTGTAACTGCGATATTTGAAGTGGAGAGTTCTCAATAATTAAAACTTCATTTTTATGTTTAGTTTACTTGAAAGTGGTATTTATTTAGGAATAAAATTTGAAAAAGAAAAAAATTGTTTTAAAAATAAAAATCTGAAACTTCAAAATATTCCTTTTTTGGTACAGCAACCGCCGGTTTTTACACTAAAAAAAACCTGTTTACATCATGTACGGCTAAAGTAAATCAGATTTTATTCATAGATTTCTTTTTCACAAAAACACTATATTATATTTGTTGTAATTGCAAAAAAATAGTTGGATATTTATATTTACAACAGGGCAATTAACTTTGCCCCATCAGTAAAATAGACAAAACAAATAAAAGAGAAAAATATATGGTTGTTGTTTGTGATCCCTGTGTCCTTTTTATACATTTGGATAAGAATTGGAGGATCTTTTTTGCTTTTCCTTGTCTTTTATTCTCAGAAGCAGGAAATATCTTTTGTGAAATTCTGCTTTGGCTTTTGTGTGTTTGTTCGCGTTCGGCACATTGGGCGCGTGTCTTTGACAGCTGCATCGGAAAACGGTGCAAAAGCCGTACTCGCTTGTTGTTTTTTGCAACTTGTGTTTCACAGTAGTTGTTTTCGCTGTTTGTGTAGCCAAAGAAGGAAGCAAGCAGGCAAAATAGCAGACCCGGTTCGTCCTGATTAATGGGCACGCTGTGTCAGCAGCAGGACCTTGTTGGACCGCGGAAAAGCAAACATTCGCTGGAGATCTTCCTTTCTTCCTCCACCCTGTTGCTCGCCCCGAAATGGAATAAAAAGCTAAAACCGACGGCAGATCGAAGAAAGCTTTTTGTCGGGACCAAAAAAGTAGTACATAGTGTGCTGCAAACGGACAAACAAAAATGTACGTGCGAAAAATTCACTTAGGCCGGCGAAAGTAGCAAAAAGGCCGCACCGCCAAATGGAATTACTACGTGTGCTTTCGCTCTACCACATTTGCGGTGCAAAATTGAGATAAGTTGAAGGGCGTCCCGCGGCCGCCGCAGCCCCTTCGCCAACTCTCAGTAGGTATATAATTGCTCTGTGTTTTCTCTCCGACTATGCAAATATTTTCGAGGCTCTCAGTCCGTAGAAAATAAACTTCAACCGAGACCAAGAGATGTAACCTGAAAAACAGACATTTAGCAGGGGAATTTCGGAAAATGAGTCCAAAGGCGGAAAAAACGCAGATTTTTATTTTAAAAGTCAATTTTCTAGAAAATTGTGTAAGAAAAATTTTAAACACTAATATTTTTCTATTTATTCTCAATTCAAATAAATTGAAATACAACATCGTCTTTCAAATCAATACATACAAAAAGAAATGGAAAAAAATTAAAAGATTTATTTATTTTTGGATGCAGACTAGAGAGAAAAGTTGTTTGCTTAAGAAGGCTAAAACTTTTGTTAAAAGTCCCTCAGTATTATTTTTAAGAGAAAAATTATTTTTTATCTAACAGAGACATTAAGAATAAATAAAAATTATGAGAAAACTACATAAAAGAATTTTAAAATAGTCCTCATAATTAGAGAATTTTAATTTAGGAAATTATGCACAAATAAAAAAAAATTTATTTTAAATCTTTGAGGAAACAAACCGAGTGTAAGTCAGCTGTATTGACGCGTTTATGTAAACCTATTAAATTTTGATTGTTTGTTAAGTTAACCATTGTGTATTTACACTCATGCAGAAAAAATTTGGTTTTGCTTGCAACCACTGATCGTGAAACTGGTTATTGATTTCAACTGGTCAATCACATCATTTGTGTTGTGTGTCTGTCTCTGTTCTGTGCAAATCCCAACGCAGCTCGCCAGCCACCATGAAATGACACGCCACTTAACAAGCATAATGGACAATTGGACATTTTGATTAAACACCACTCACCGAGCTGGATACTAAGCCCAACTGCCTGTGATGTTCAAAACAAAGCGCAATTTCGTCCGTTTAGAAACTCTCAAAACTCAATTAAAAATTGTTTTGAAATGCATAAAATACACTCTGCAGATGAAATTAATAATGCTGGTAAAAATAAATAATCCTCCCCCTGTGTAAAGGTGGCGAGGTGGAAAGAACGAGACAAGAGACGCAATTATTTTCCGCCCTTATTCTGAGTAAAGCGAGTTAAAATGCGTACAGGATTTTCGCACTCGACGACACGTGATGTGCGCGAGCGTTTTAATTAGAGGGTGCGAAAAAGCGCGACTACACGGCAGCTGGCGACAGCAAGTACGAAATTAATTCCCAAAATTAGTGCATGACTGCGTACAGAACGCTAATTGCGATTTAGTCCCGTTATATGTATTCATAGTTTTTCATTTTACAGCTTGTTTACACCTGCAAATGGTTCAACGAAGGAAAAAAGTGAATAAATTCCATCTTTTTAATTGCATCAAAATAAATAATTTTGTAAGCACACACCCACACACAAAAAAGATAAGAAAAAAAATTGATTTTTATAAAAAGTATATTGAAAAAATATTTTTCTCTGCACCTGAATTTGAGATCTTATTCAGTTCCACGATGCAAAAAAATTCTGTAATTTTTTAATTCTGGTGTGTTTAATTTTAGATAGATTTATTTAACTTCGTCATAGAATTAAAAAAAAAAAATATGTGCTTTAAATTACTAAAAACAGCTTTTTTAGACTTGTTTGGTGAAAAACTGAGTATAATAATTAAAAATAACAGAAAATTTTGAATTCTCCTTCCTTTTCTAGCAGAAAGTAAAGCAAACATATATCTCAAGTGAGAACAATGCACGTCTAATGGCAGCGCGAATTATGATAATTATTTTTGACGGATTCGCTTGTCTAGTGGCTGAATCCAGATTATTATTTGCTGCACACGAGGCGTGTGCCCTTTGTAGCAGAAACAAGCCTCATAAATAATACACACAACGGCGAGAGAGAATCGCGCTCGCTCGCATCCCGACAGAAAACCTAGTGTGCCCGGCTCTCGGCACCAACAACAACCAGAGAGCGAGAGAGACAGACACAAAGGAATGCAATATGTGTGTTAGTGTGACGTGTAATTAAGAGCAAATTGCGTCTTCCTTTGTTGCAGAGGGAGCTGCGGAAATAAATTCGCTCTTGTGCCATTACATCCATCCATCCATCCTTTCTTGCACAGAGTTTCAAAAGCAAGAATGGCGGAATTCGCAGCACATCTGAAGGATTGAGACTGATGTGTGCTCTTAATTCTTAATTACGTTTCATTTTAACTCACAATCATTTTGATCCATCCTGCAAAGCTTGTGAAGAAAGTATTAATCTAAAAATCTGCAATTATATTTAAGGAAAAGACAAGCGTTATTTTAATTAAATATTTTTATCCACCGATGAATAAAATAAATTAATTATAAAATCGTAAGCAGATCGAAGGAAATTCTCTATTATCAATACTCAAAATTGTTGCCTGCAGGTCTTATTAAAATAATTTTCTCTACAACCCACTATAACCAAAAAAGATTTCAAAATATAATAATTAATTTTTTCAGCGTATAAATATTCACAGAATAGAAGCTAAAGCTTTTTAATCGTATAACTTTCAAATTGCAAAAAAAACTATTCAATCACGCAAATTTCATTTTCCTCAACGGTGGCCTCTCACCCCAACAATAAATTACAGCTAGAAACTATTTATTCCAAGTGTAGCTTGACCTTTATTATTCATCGTTTAATTCCATTCATATGCGCGTGTCAGCACAAAATTTACTGCCCAGTGTAAAAAAGATAATATAAAAAATTTACATCAACTCCGGGGCGAAACAGCTGTCTGTCTATTTTTACCATTTTTACATCTCTCAGGACACGTGAGGGGGTGGCGTGCAAATAGAAGAAGTGTGGCGCGGACAGACAAAGGCTGCTTTGCTCGTCTTGTCGGATCGAAATAGAAAAATAATGGGAACGCGCGGCATTGACACGTCTGGGCCACCCACACCATATTGTATTGTGCGTTAGCAAAAAATACTGCGAGCGCAATTCGAGCTCTTCGTTCGCGTGGTACATGTAGCAAATTTTACCACACACATCACATATTTTATCCGATGGGAGTCGTAAAAGTCTCATCCAAAGAAGTATTGAATTTACTTGAAAAAAAGAAAAAGGTGAAAACGCTTTGTTCTTCAAAAACCGTCGAAATTAAACGATTCACTGTGATGCATTTTTAACGGCTCAAAAGTAAAAAGAATTTATGCAAATAAAGTTCACTAATCTGTGTTGCCTTTTTGCTCTCATTATACATAAAAAATATAATATTATCTCATACTTTATGTAAAAAAATTAAAAAAAAAGTCTTATTGATAACCAATTATAAAACTTGCTATCATAATTTTAGCTCATTTATTCTTAATAAATACGCTTTCACGATGTTTTTGGCTATGCCAGTCTTTCAAATGAGCAGCAAACCTGATGCGAATTGATCTATGATTGTATTTTATTGCGCCGACGAGTTTCTACAAAAATTTTTATGTCCACGTCAAACCGATCGGGGGAGGAGAGGGGAGTGCGAGTTTTGTTTCTGTCATTTCGCAGTCTCCTCACGGCGCTGTCTCCTCTACCCCTACCCTGCACCTGCACCCCCCCCCCTCCGGATTTGTTGTTGCTTGTTCTTTTTTCTTTTTTCCAATATGTATTCCTTTATTTTCTTGTTGACAAAGGACCAAGGCGTGCGCATCACAATAACTCGGAGCAAATTCGGATTGTTGCAAAGCGATTGTAGGTACATTGTTTTTTTGCACATGCAACTCAGAGAACTGCAACGGAAAATCAAATTCTTATGTTCATTTGTGACTCGCGAACTTTGTTGTTTTGCCCTTCTTTCGTGAGTTCAGGGTTCAGGTTAATCGTCAGGTATTAGTCGCAGATCTGCACTCTTGTCGGAACCACGTAATGCTACCTCGTTTCTGGCCCTGGACAGCTTTCAATAAGAGGAATAATTCGCCCAAAACAGAGTCAGAGGTACGTTTTTTTAACGGAATTTATGGAACACCGAATCATTTTTCATTATTTGAATGAATTCTTAGAGCAAAAATTCTGAAATGCAATCCATCAATGAGGTCGAGGAAAAACTAAGTCGATGGGATAATGAGCGTTTGAAGCAGCAGCTGGTGGCAAATCAGGCCAAAAAGATGATGGCTTTGCTCAAAAGTGGTGAGCACTATGATTGCACCTTCCAAGCTGGTCCTCCTGGAAGCTCAAAGGTAGAAAAACATAATTTTTATTTGCATACATACATAAAAGTAAAAGTAAATTTAGCCATTCAATTGATTATTTGTTTCTGTTTGTCTTGCAAAATGCAAAATAACTTGAATTTTTTGTGATTTAAATTATTATAATTAAATTTTATTTCACCATTTTTTAGCAAGGCCTTTTCAAGTGCCACCGATTGGTTCTGGCAATGAGCAGCCCTGCTTTTGAGACAATGCTCTACGGCCACTTCAAAGAGGCTGGAAAGGGACGAGCGGATGAGCCTATTAATATGCCAGACGTGGACGTTGTGACCTTCCATGCTGTCCTTAGGTATAAGCAGACATTTATATTTATTTCCATTAGTTGTTTTTTACAATTTTATTTGCACAAAGGTTCATCTACGGTCGAGAAACTGTATGCCTGACTGAGAATATGGAAGTGGCCATTTCTATTCTGGAGTTTGCCTCCAAGTGGCAAATTCTCGGATTGGATCAGTTGGTTGACTCCTTGTTCCTTCGTTTTGATCTCTCAGCTGAAGACTTGCTTGTCCTGCACCACCTCTTCTACACCCACAGCTTGACTGATGAGCGCAAAAAAATTATGCAAGTGAGTTGAACCATTTTTGTAGATAACATAAATATAAAATGTTAATTTAAATCTTTCTTTTTTAAGCATATCTGTGAAAGAGGCAGTGAGGTGCTTAAGTCATTGTCTGCTGCTCACAATGACACCGTCATTGATATCCTGAGACAGGACAAATTAAACTTGTGTAGCGAAAAAGACTTGTACGACGCCCTTGTGGACTGGGGTGCTGCCCAAATCACCAACTCAGACAAGAACCCTGCATTGATTAGGAGCCACGTGAAGACTTTGCTGCCCCTCATCAGATTCAAGTCCTTTAGTGTCAAGGACTTTGCCCAGCTCTTCAGAGACCCTTCAGTGGTCACCGACGAGGAGAAGCTGAAGATTTTCTCTATTCTGCACTTGGAAGAAAATGTTACCCTGAGATACTTTGATCTGAAGTCACCCTGGAGAGGAATGTTCAACCCTGCAACTCAGCAATTAACCTCATACAAAGCTGAAACCCCTTTGCAAATAATTGAATCCCAAGGGGAGCAAATTGCCTTCTCCAACGTTAAGTGCAGCAAGCGCATTTATCTGTTCGGCGTCGGAATCTACAGTCTCTGCCATCTCAACAAAGGTGCTGAAATGCATCTCAGGCTGACGGTCCGGCATAAAGAACTTAACCCTTTGGCCATAGTCGATCACCATGTGATGAGCAACAATTTCAGCCACAATGACTTGGCCAATTCAATGATCATGCTGAAAAACCCATGCCTGTTGGAGGGTCACACAATGTACAACGTAACTGTTACCCATTTTGCTGGGGGCTTGAGGAAGTACGCAAGTTTCAGCAAACCAAGTGAATGGAAAATTGCTTTCAAATCTACTTCTGAAAAAGTAATAAATAGAGAAGATGGTGATGATGATGAAGAAGAAGAAAGAGAAGGTTGCAGATGTTGGATATTTGGCTCCGAGACTCCAATAGTTTTCGGAAATGAGGTGGTTGCTTTGCAATTCGCTGAAGCAATGAATCAACAGTAACAGTTAATACTGTTGGGAGCATTTGAGATTTTGGCCATTGTCAACTGTGCAGTGACAGAGATTTTCTGTTACTAAATTTAATTAATTCATGCATTTTGACGTTCTAAGCTTATATATATCTAAGCACTGCACATTAGTTTTCAATTTTTGTCAATAAAAAATGTTAAAATATAATATGTAAACGATGATAACAATTATTTATTTTCCCAGTTAAATCTCTGTGACCTCAAATGAAAATTTTTTGCTTCATAAAAGGTAATTCCTCATCTCTAATCATTTGTGTTTACATTAATAGATTAGTGGTATAATCCAACGGGGTGAAAAAATGAAATCATTATTTAATTATTTACAGTTTGACTCAATATTTTCATCATTTTTATTTATATGTATTTCACTGTTAATCTGTCATGTTGAGATGTTAATGATATGAACGAGAAAATATGATATGAAATTTAAAAAAATTACCATTTTTAAAGCATTTTTTTATACGCGCAAAATATGAATGATGTGGCGCGTGTGGCTTAATTTACATTGCGTCGTCGAACGACACACATGAGCCGAACCGACCATTGAGACCGTCTGAGCGAGAGGCGGGAATTGTCGGGCGAGATCTGCTCGTTTTGATTAGCCCAGCGAAAGAATGCATTATTTTTACAGAACGCGTTTTTAAGTTAAGTATATATATTCATTCAATATTTTCAGAGTTGATTGTTTGATATTTGATATGCTAGTTTTATATATATTTTTTCTAGAAGTGGAAATTACTGGTATTAAAAAATTTTTTAGTTTTTTTTTCTTTCAACTTTCCAATAAAAAGAACAAGAACATTTTTTGAAGGACTCCTTTTGTCCCTTTTGATATAGTGTCAAATCAAGTCTTTACAACAATGGTGATTAAAATTTCCAATTGTCTTTCAACAATCACAAAAATCTTTTATATTGTTGTAAGGACTTGATTTGACTATATGTCAATAAGAAGTCCTTAAATTATAAAATCGTTATAAACTGTCGACTACGCTCCGCCCCCTTCCGACTTGTTTTCTGTTTTCTTTCCCAATGAGTTGAGTATACAGACAGATTACCGACGACCCAAGGTTATTTCCTCGAAGCTCCATTTGTCTTCAACGTTCGCTCTCATCACAACAATTGGGCGCTAATTTGGATCGTTGCCGGGTGTTCTGGTTGGGCTATACTTTATTATTACTTTGTACTGAATTCATAAAAGAGTTCAAAACAACAATCAAATCTAGTTTCATCGTGATGCGCGGACCTTTGCTTAATTTCCTTTGGATGACGTTTGTCGTTTTTACTTCTTCTTTTGTCAGGGTCAGGTGGCTGGTCATCGTCAGGTAGTCAAGATCGCTGCACTCAGATACTCGGAACCAAAAATGCTGCCTTTTTGGATGTCCCTCATGAAAACAATATTTCACTCGGAATAATTCACCCGCATCAGAGGTATACATAGCACAACCGATTTTTTTTTCAAACGAAGAATTCGCATGTGGTTTCATTATATTTTTGTTTGAATTCATAGAACACACCAACTGAAATGTCAAGCGGATTTAAGGAGATTAGGCTGGGCAAGGACAAAGGCGGAGAATTGGAGCAGCAGCTGCAGGTGGCAAGTCGTCAGGCCAAAAAGCTGTTGACTTGGCTTGAAAGTGGTGAGCACTACGACTGCACCTTCCAAGCTGGTCCTTCTGGAAGCTCGAAGGTATGAATTAGAAAATGTTTTTTGTAAATTAATTAATTGATGCATGATCGTGTTTTTGCAAAATTTAAAAAATGCGAATTAAATTTATTCTTATGTAATCATAGGAGGGCCTTTTCAAGTGCCACCAATTGGTTCTGGCAACCAGTAGCCCTGTACTGGCAAGAATGCTCTACGCCCACTTCAATGAGGATGGAAAGGGAGTCAATGACCCCATCTTCTTGCCAGACGTGGACGTTCTGACCTTCAAAGCTGCCCTTAGGTAAAGCAGACAATGAATTATTTCTTACAATCAGTTAGAAGAATTTTATTTGCATCAAAGGTTCATCTATGGTCGAGAAACTGTTGACCTGCCTGACGAGAGTATGGAACAGGCCATTTCGATTTTGGAATTTGCCAGCAAGTGGCAAATTCTTGGTTTGGACCAGTTGGCAGCCGCAGTGTGCCTTCATTATGATCACTCGGCTGAAGACTTGCTTCTCCTGCACCACCTCTTCTGCACCAATGGCTTAACTGATGAGCCCAAAAAAATTATGCAAGTGAGTTTAACCATTTTTTATTTTTCTATTTACATAAACAATTTTAATTTAAACAATACTTTTTTAGCTCATATGTGAAAGAGGCAGCGAGGTGTTGAAGATGTTATCGGCTGCTCACAAGGACACCGTCCTGGAAATCTTGAGGCAGGACCAGCTAAACTTTGTGTGTGAAAAAGATCTGTATGACGCTCTCATTGAGTGGGGTTCCGCCAAAATCACTGACTCGGACAAGAACCCTGTATTGATTAGGAGCCAAGTGAAGACTTTGCTGCCCCTCATCAGATTCAAGACATTCAGTGTCAAGGACTTTGCCCAGCTCTGCAAAGAACCACCAGTGGTCACCGATGAGGAGAAACTGAAGATGTTCTCCATTCTGCACCAGAAGACAAATGATTGCATCAGAGGATTCGATCTGGAGTCACCCTGGAGAGGCATGTTCGACCCTGCAACTCTTCAATTGACGTCTTTCAAAGCTGAATGCTCTTTGCAAACAATTGAATCCCAAGAGAAGCAATTTACATTCTCTTCCATTGAGTTCAAGTCGCCAACTTACCTGCTCGGGGTCGCAATCTACAGTCTGTGCCACCTCAACGAAGGGGCCGAAATGCACCTCAAGCTGGAAATCACCTGCAGTGGGAACCGTTACCCTATGGCCTCAGTCGAGCACCATGTTGCAAGCAACATGTTTAGCCACAAGGACTTAGCGAATTCACTTGTCATGCTGAAAAATCCTTGCCTGTTGCAGCCTTTCATAATGTTCTGTGTGAAAGTGACCCATTTTGCCGGTGGCATGAGAAAGCATGCACGCTTCAGTATGGGCATGAAAAATGATCCCATACCTTCTGATCAAGACACTCCTGTATATCGTTGTAGGGGAGGTGAGGTGGTTGCTTTGAAAGTTGCCAAACCAATGAAACGTTGAGAGAGATTTTGGAAATCTTCAACCTGCAGGATTTTGTTTTTAAATTTAAATTTATGCATGTTGAAGTTTCTCATTGTACTTTCAATTTCTTCCAACAAAAAATGTAAGTAAAAAAATTGAAAATATTTCCCCAGTTTAACCTTCAACTCAAATGAAAAATTGTTTCGCTTCAAAAGTTTTTCCCTCTAATAATTTGTGTAAATAATTAATTCAACATTTGTAGTTATCTTATCAGTAAAAAAGTGGGTCATTAAATTATTTACAGTTAGATCAAATAGATCAATTCAAAATTATATTTATTTCATTGGGTTGATGAAATGTTAATAACAAAGTAAATCATTTTATGCTATAAATTAAAAAAGGATACATGTGACATTATTGTTTGAAAATTGATAATGATTGATTAAAAAGTATTGTTATTGCAACATGAGATTGGCCGCGGTTTAAAGGAATTAATTACATTACAAGACAACAAAATGCTAGGTTAAAGCTTCAAAGCTTCTTTTTTAACAAATTCTGTCAAATTTTATCATAAAAGTGTCATTTGAAATATTTCAAGGGGAATCATCACAGATGGGCAAGTGTGACCGACTCGCACGCAGTGGCAGTATAACTCAATTCTTGGCACGTCTCATCATTGTGGGGTCGTTTCTTTTTTTCCTTCTTTTACGATGAGCCATCGACGCGAGCGACTCTTTTCGAGAGGACCAGCGGCAGTCCTTCTCCATCATCACACCCGATGACTCCGTCGACTGCGGGCAGACATATGCTTGTGACACGTCTTTTTCTTTCTCTGACTGAAGCCCACCAGATTAAGGAAAAGCGGCGGGCGAAATAATGTTTTGATTGCCCTGTCGATTTTTCACGCCCGCGGCGAGAGAAGAAAAGGGTTTGATTGCTTTTCGCGCTTTCACCGAACCGGCGTTTCTTCCAATAGCTTTTTCTTTCATCTCATTAATTTCCTGGAAGATTTTTTTAGCAAAAAAATGCGAACGGTAAAATTTTCTCAGAATTTGTAGAAACATCGTGATTTTAATACATATTGACATTAGTTAGGTGCGGAAAGCAGGTCCTTCACGTGCGCCTGCGAGAGAGTCGCACACTTTGATGCCATAAAGCGAGCGTGCATTTAAATTAAAGTTACGACTTATGCAGGTGGAACAAAAGAAGAGAATAAAAGTCGTAAAATTACGGCGAGCGCGCAAATAATAAATTTAGCGCAGCATCATAAAGAATGGAGAAAAGGGAAAAGCGCAGTGTGCACCAAAAATATAATGTGTTGCCTCAAGCTCAATCTGTTTTAAGATAAGATAAAAAAAGTTTATCAACTAAATTTCAGTAATACAGTAATTTCTCAAATACATGAAAGAAATCTGAATCATGCATTTAGTTTAAAAAGTCAGACATTTAAAAAGGATTGGAGCATTATATAAAAGCCATTGCCTTATAAATATAAATCTTTTTTATATGAAATAACAGCTTAAAAGCATTTCTCTTTATTAATGTGAATCATAAAAAATTAAATGTTTTGAATAAGTTTCCTTTTTCAGAAACAGAAACCCATTTTTTTTTCAATCCGATAATTTTAGAACTGTATTATATGATGGGAAATCAGTCGGTAAATCAAAGAGAGTCTATTATTGCTGATGAGTGGAGAGCGATAAAATATAATTGATTAAATTGGCATGGGCCGCGTGCGTGCATGTGTATGTTGTCTCGGCAATAATTGCGGGTGTGCAGAAGCAACGGGACAGGGAGTGGGTCTTTTCGAAACATAAAGCACGCTTTTATTGCGTCGTAAAACTCTCATTTCGCGGGATGGAAGTTAAGTAACGAGAGATACAAGCCCTGCAGAAAGAAAGGAAAGCCTGGCAGGCTTCAAATCTGATTTTGTCAAAATGTTTCTTTTGCTCTCTCTTCTGTCTGATAAAATCTTGGACGCTGTAGCACGCAATATGTTAAAAACGGCCCCAGACACTTTATTTCTCTCGAGACAGTGAACATACGTTCGTTTTATTTGAGGCCGACACGATTTTGCGCCTGCCCGGCCGACCGGGGTGCGAAAAGTCTTTAAAAGCCATAAAACTATCTCGCGGTACTCAATTGCCTGCTCCTCTGCGTTCTGCACCCGACGCCGCCGGCTGCTCATTCAGTCAGAACGCGAGGAAACTTTTGGCTTCCTAGCTCAATGGAACACATTCGTAGAGAGTGAGAACATAGAGAGAGACAATGAAAGGCGTCAGCTCAAACGATTTTGCAAGCACTGGCAATTCGCGACTGCAATTAGTCGGCCTAAAAGTTTTGTGCCAATGTATGCACTAAATTTCCTGCTAAATTGAAATTTTGGCTATTCAAATACCAAAGGTTGCCATTTAATTATGTTCAAGTTGTTATTTAAATGCCTTTTTTTATTTTTTCTTATTATTTATATTTTTTTTAACCTTGGCTACAACGATTGTCTTATCTCTGACGCTTTAAATTTGAAGAAGGCCCACAATATTGATTTTTTTATTATATATTTTAATTTTAATCTTGTATTGGTCCGGATTTTGGCTTGAAAATTTTATTTTTAAGAAATTGGCTGGTTTAATCGGAAATCCTTACAATTAAGCGTTCAAAATATATCAAATAGGCATAATTGAAAAAAATTATTTTCAATGAACTAAAACAGATTTATTGATTGTTTTATAGAAAACTGACAAACCAGCCAAATAGCAGTAATTATATGTGAAGGAAGGCGTGAGAAATTTTATATTTTAAATTTTTAATTGTTTTTTTTTTTAATTCTATTCTCTACCAATCAATTGACAAAGGGGAAAATAATTAAAATCATTTCATCAAAAATTGTCTAATTTATGTATTTATGTTAATTGTATAATAGCGTTTTTTTAGATTTGTCACTCATAATAGAATCAAGTTTTTAAATTATATTCGTATTAAATATAAATTCTTTTCTGCTCTTCTATTATTTGGCTCATTGCAAGTCAAGAGTTTCCAACCTTAACATATTCTGATATTGAATGGAGAACGTTTCTCCAGAATCGATTCATAAATCAAAAGATGCAAAGCCCAGGGAGCTTCTGTATAATAAATTTGCAAAATTCGATCACAGCCCTCCCACGAGAGAGTGACGAAAGGGTTTAAGTGAAAATTCTGCCGCAATCCTCTCCATAATTGGAGATTTGTCGGCGGCGGCGGCGGCCCGACGACGGCGTGCCTCTGGCAAGTGTCACAAAGCGGCCCTTGTTCTTTTTCCTCTGCAGGCGCGCGCAATTTATTTTTCTCTCGTTGCTTCAAGACTGCAGAAAGGCGGATTTGGGCACACTCGAATTGCTCGCAATCATTCTCCAAAAGAGCACCGCCTTTGTGCACCAAAGCAGCGAGTCATTAAAATTTTCCGACCGATTTTCCCTGACGGCGTGTTCATAAATTTTAATTGCTACAAGTTTGCGAATCAAAGGCTTTGCCGATCATCGTCCGACTGACCGCAAATTCGCGCGCAATTAATCTTTTGCGGCGCACTCATGCCGAAATTAATCTAAATATTTTAATTGCTCGTTTTTGCACGACGAGAGCGAAACCGGAGAATAAAAAGCACTGCAGCACTTTCTGCGCAAAAATGCTGTATATGTGTCGCGCCGCTGCTGGCTGACGCGCGCGAGAGATAAATTTATCTTTCCACTCTTTTTCTACTATGTACGATGGTTGTGCCGGGTAAATAATGTAAATTCATCACGGCACTCGCTCCAGCTGCCTGCAGTCGTCCCATGAAAAATTCTCTTTAACTCAATTACACGCGCCGCGACCACTTCCAAACCGCTTCATTTCAGTCCAAGGGTGAAAATCTTCCTCGCCGCCATATGTGCCACGGCGATTCGTCATCTCTCGCACAGTCTGCGGGCCAAATTAATAGTGTGTTGTGTCTGCGCTCACTCGCTCAGGTCATTTGTTTCTCCAAGGCGAATACAACAGCTTGAGCAAAAAAGAATTTTATATTATGGCTTCAACTTTTAATTCCTCATTAATCAAATCAAGTCAATTGATAGTGGTTTAGCTTCAAAAATTAAAACATTGAATAAAGAATAACGTCGATGTCTTGCAAAATCTTGTCCATTTTGTAATTTGTCATCCAAGATCATTGACAAATCTTTTTGTTTAATTTTTTGTTTTAAAATACTTTTTCTGTCTTAATTTTAGTACATTATAAATTAGCAAAGACTAAAATTGAAATAATAAAATTTTTTGTCATTCTCAAAAATGTTTTAAAAGCAGATTCTATGCAAACTAACAATAATAAGTAATTGTTTTTGAAAGTGCGTAAAAAAATTTTAATAATTTGATTTGATTGTTAATCCATTCTATTTATGCTGATTTGCAATCAAAAATTTTAAAAATCAACTCCTAAAACACGCCATTTAAATGATTTTTGGAAGTTCATTAGAAACCAATAAGTCTGATTCTGAGTAAATTCGTCTAAATAAACAGAGTGCAAAAGGCCATTAATTCCACGCAATTAGCAACGTACACCTTCCACTGGTAAACAACCCAAAATAGAAAGGTTTCAATCGACGTTTCCGCCCCCGTATTTGGCAGAATCAATCTGAACCCAAACAGTTTGTTGTTTTGTTTACGAAACGGAGCAGGAAAGCAGAAACGGAAAAAAACGACTTGTGTCTATTAGCAACAGCGGCACAAGACAAGACGGGGTCGCGCGCGCGTTGCCTTATTTACGTTGGTGGAAATGGAGCGGTCGTGACACCTACATAGCGCCGAGCGATAAGAAAAGAGAGCAGGAAATTGACTTATGCACCAGCCGAGCTGATAAAATAACGAATGCACTCCGACAGCCAGCAGCAGCAGCGAGATTGCGACTCTCTCAGGCGATTCGATTTCTCGTTTTATTACGAATGCACGTAGCAGTTGATGTGTGCAGTTGCGATCGCTTATCGCCGCCAATCGTGTGCCATTTATCAGGCGTGTGCGCGCCGAGGTGCTGTAAAATCAACCGAAACACACTCAATTACTTGTGATAAATGCGCGACTCCGCAGGGAGATCGAAGAATGAGAAAGAGATGCACCTTTTATATTCAACGGCCGTCGAGTGTTGTAAATTGTTTTTGCAAATGGAAAAAGTAACAAAATGCTTTTGCGAGACGATTTCCAAGTTTTTTTTTATATCTTTTCACATTCATTTGCATAAAATATTTAAGAATACTTCAAGGTTGAATATATCGACTTCAT